TCCAGAAGGATACCATGGTCGATGGTATCGAAAGCCGCTGAGAGGTCCAGGAGAACCAACAGGGACACACTCCCCCTGTCCTTCTCCCTGCACAGGTCATCATATAGGCAGCTTTCTATTGATATAATGATTTAATGGCAAGCGCAACCAGAAAGCCTTATAATGATGCATTTAAAGAGATGCACATGTGTATACACCTGCCTCATACTCTTTATTGTCCTGGTATCTCACATGAAAAGTTATTACCTTTTCTAGGATAGCATACTTTGCAACCTCAAAGTCTTCTGGAAAATCAGGAATGTTTTCACTGTCATGCGAAAGCCATCTGAAACCACCCCCAAAAAGATCAGATTATTTATCATTACTGAACACAGTTCAGCTTCCTGCATGAACATCAGCAATCTAATAGAATCAATAAAGCACTTGAACCCTTTCCAAAGCCAGTGGTAAAATTTCCATGAGTTTGTACAGAAGCTAGAAGCTACTGGAAATTTCAAATTTGCTCAGAAATTCTTATAAACGAAGGCAGCTGTCTTGCACCTGTTTATGAGCATTTAGATCTCACTGGTTTCATCAGGACCACAGCACACAGAACTGGGTACAAAATTACAATCTAAACCAGTTACCAATTTAGGCTAGGTAGATAGGTTTCTTTTCTTTTTAAGGGACCCATTCATCTCTCAAAGAGTCAAAAATCGGACCAAATGAATGGTCATTCATTCATTAATTATATTAAAACTATCTTATATTCTGCTATATTGGTCTGAGGGCCCTCTAAGTGAATTAGAGTGAGACAAAAAACACTATAACAATAAAAACAATGACTTGTTAACAGAATTTTGATTCTGAAATTATACTCTCTAAACCGCAAGAGTTGCACAACACTCCTTGGGCCATTATACCTGGTCGGAGATACAAATCTGTTTTATCCTGCCACTTTTAATAACAGAAGAGGTAAATATGACATGATGGTGAAACATACTTCGCTTTAGTAGAGCCTTTACCAATATGGTGCTTTCAGGATACGTTGGACTATAATTACACTCTTTCCCAGCCAGGCATAATGGGAGATGCAGGTGGAGAGCACCAGGTTGGGGAAGGCTGGCTTACAAGCACAAGTCAACCTGCTGTGCTGCAAGTTTATGTGAACTCACGCATTTCATATTATAGTAAGTTCTCTGAAATTATTCTGGTTTCTAAATAAAATATGCTAATGTTAGGGGATTGTAGTCTTACTACAGCTAACAGAATACATAGTTCCTTCCTAAACACTTTTCTCTTGGAAATGAAAACCCAACTGAACTTGTTAAGGCTTCAGATCACAACCTTAGCTTGTGAATCACAATTACTTCTGTTACTATTTAGGGGACTTGATATTTGGATCAAACTACATATATGAAAGAGATGGGTCATCAGAAGCCATATCAGGGTGAATCTTTTTTAAAAAACTGAATAGTAAGTATGGACAGGGGGTGGGAGAAATTCAGTTTTATTGGGAGCACAGCTCATGGGGTGGGGAAATACAACTCCTCAACTACAATCCTGACAAGCTTTAGAGCCTTTTTCTAAAGCTCATAACTATGTCAGGGAATACATCAATTTTAAATGATATTACACCTAGGGATGGAAAGGTTAAACCTCCTTGTATACTGAAGCTGCACTAAAAATCCATCTTTCCTATTATCTTCTACTGATTAATTCAGCCAAAGATGCCAGGAGATGGACTTGGGATATCCAATTTGCAAGGCATGTACACTACCACTGAGCCTTTTCATTCTTTTCCATTCCTTTTGATTCTTTTTAAACAAAATAATACGTTAGAGTGCCTTAGTTACCTTAGACTGTCTATGTTGCTGCTGTCAATGGATTGATTCTTGTTATCTTCTTTAGTAGTATCCTTTTCCTTTTGGTTGTCATCTCCATGAACCAAATCCACTGGCACACCTATGGTTATGACAAGAGTTATTTCCTTGTTGCCTACCAGCTCCTTTGAGATAGAATATACATGAAATGTAATCAATACATCTCAAAAATTAATGGAAGATATTCAAGACTGCAAATGTAGGCTCTGCAAGGAGAATTTGAGGATCTCCTTGGTAAACTTTTAAAATGTGCATAAAGAGAACAATGCAGCTGGTCTAAGAACATCAGGTGCTGCAGCACTAAATGGATGCTATTCTGATCTGTAACCTGGAAGAATGACTACCAAGAGCAGCTTGCAAGAACAGGAATAATACCTAAAAGAGTAAAATGGGTTCATTGGAGGAGGAGAGGAATGGGAGAAAAAAATGAGTAAGAAAGAACAAGAGAGAAAGAACACTGATACTCAAGTGTAGGAGAGAAGTGATTCCCAGTCTAGGAGTGATGGCAGTCAAAAAGGGACTAAGGGATGGGAGGGAGCCAATACCCAGGAACAGGTGAACACAGAAACAATGTCAAAATATGTCCTAAAATCCCAGGTAGACTATGACTGATTAGATGCCAGTGAAGTTTTGACTTCAGAGAGAGCCACAACTTCGGGAGAGGTTTCAGGCTGACACATAGCTCATAAATGTTTTTGATTCACTTATAAAACTAAAGGGCTCAAAATCAGTAATTTCTCTTACCAGCTGCCCATGCCAATGCTTTGTGGGGTTCATAATCATCTGCCTGTAAGAGTTCCCCTACATCAACGGAGTCCTGTATGAAATCAACATCTACAACAGGCAGCTGAAATTTCCGGATACTTTTCAGGTGAGTGGAACTGAGGGCATCAGCAAAATCCGTGACAACATGAGTACACTAAAATTAAATTAAGATGTGATTTAAGAAATGTGGAATTGCTGACCAACATATTGAAGTGGTTCATACAAACAACTAACATACATATTGATGTGGTTCACATGATCATTGCAAGTCACCATAGTTTATTTAGCCACAATGAAGTGCGGTGCCTCTAAGCACCAGATTGCCTATTCAAGCCACTTCTTGTACCATCCAAACCTGAGCTGCAGGTGTTGAGAATTAAACACCCCTCAAATAATGCATGTTCTACTGCAACTTTCTTTGAGAATTATGTAACTCTCGAAGAACTTTCATCTGGGTTGGGATAAATTAGTGGAGAGAATGCAATCAATGGCTATTATTTGTGATGCTGCCAGTATGCTACCTCCCGTATTAAAGGCAGTATGCTGGGAAACACGAATGGGACAGTGCTGTTGCATTCACATCCTGCTCATGAGTTTCCTATGGGCAGCTGGTTGGCCATTATGTGAACAGAATGCTGAACTAAATGGATCCTTGGTCTGATGCAGCAGGGCTCTTTATTATTATTATTATTATTATTATTATTATTATTATTATTCAATTTATATCCTGCCTTTTTCCTACAAAGGGCTCAAGGCAGCTTACATCTCCTCCTCCATCTTATCCCCACAACAACAACCCTGTGAGGTAGGTTGGGCTGAGAGTCTGTGACGGGCCCAAAGTCACCCAGTTGGCTCCATGGCTGAGTGGGGACTCGAACCCAGATCGTCTGAGTCCCAGTCCCATGCTCTTCACCACTACAACACACTGTTCTGACCATGAAAATGAGCTTTAAGGAATCATCAAATTCTGGTTTTCAGGTAAATGCAAACCGCAGTCTGACAACAGAAGTGCAGGCATATGGTGCACAGGGAGAGGGACAATGTGTGAGCTTGAACTTCCACAGGATCATTTCTGTAATAACAGACCAAGGGTTTTGTGACATATGAAAGGCATGGGATTAAAGAGCATCCAACTGTGTCATTGTGTCCCCACTGTGTTGTGACAGGAGGAGGGATTTGGTAGTTCTGAAACCATTCCAAAAATGTCTAATATCCTGTGAGGACACATTCAGGCTGAAACATGTCCACTGACCTGCCTTGTTAATTTCAGCTTGCTTTTAGAAACACTAAATCCTAGTTGTACATACGGTTGCTTTTGGTGGCATGTGAGCACACTAGGATGCTGCATCAAGACCATAGAAAGTGTACTTACCATTTGCAGAAGGATCCAATTCTCCATTTATCCCATGTAGTTTCAATCTTCCCTACATGGCACCTTCTTCATGGATTTGTTGCTTTGTCAACCCTAGGCCATTGCTTACCTTCTTAAGTATACAGACACCTTCTCCTGTTTATGACACTGAAATGAACTTGGAACTTACCTCTTGATTCAACACAAATTGAATCTTTCCACCATTTTCTTTAATGCTGTTCTTCAATCTATTCTTTTCCCGAATGTGTAATTTTGTCAGTCTCAGGAAAAACACACAGTTTGCAAAAATGGCTTCTTTCATCCTGCAAAAAGGTCACAATCTTAAATTCAGAATCTTTCCAGATTATTTTTATTAAGGGATGAATTTAAAATGTTGCCAACTTGTTGTTGTTAGTCGCGAAGTCGTGTCTGACCCATCGCGACCACATGGACAACATTCCTCCAGGCCTTCCTGTCCTCCACCATCCCCTGGAGTCCACTTAAGCTCACACCAGGTGCTTCAGTGACTCCATCTAGCCACCTCATCCTCTGCCGTCCCCTTCTTCTTTTGCCATCTATTGTTCCGAGCATTAGGCTCTTCTCCAGGGAGTCCTTCCTTCTCATTAGGTGGCCAAAGTATTT